CACCGCCCCGGGATAGCGGCTGGAACGCTGCCAGCCCCTGAGCCCCATGCTGCCCCAAACAGCTCTGGGGCTGCATGGCCATGTGCCACATCTTCCTGTGAAAGACGGCTCCGTGTATCACCTGAGGTCCTAACCCCAGCTATGACACAGAAACCCTGTGATCGTGAACAACTCGTAAGTCACAAAATTTCACGTTTGTAGGCCTGAATTAGAACAAATTAATCTGAGGGAGCTGTGCATCTGCAGTGCTTGTAATTACCAGGAGTTTCTGGCACACAGGGAAAGCATCTCCACTCTTCCCTAGCAGCATAACTTTCCCTGTAGTCCTCTGGCTTCTGCAGAATGAGCTATCTGAAATTTAAATCCATCAAGAACTACTTCTGTAAACCAAAGACAGCTTTTCAGATCCACTGTAATAGGGCAAAAACTGTCAAGCGGTAAGAATGATAGATTAACTTTGCAGACAGAAAACACTGCAAGTATTTTTGCTTGGGACGGTGTTTAAAAAAAAAAAATAATAATCAAATGCCTGGTGTGGGCAGCCTGGCTCTCAAGAGGTGAGTCACTTTCCATGTGTGCTTTTTCCCAGTAAGCAGTACTGGAAAGGTCTGATGACCCATGCTTGGGAAAACTTGACAATGGGGCAAGCTTGAAAAAAATCAAATCCATCTCCTTCATCCCTCACTACCTATGTCCTCCTCTCTTTCTCTTTCTTAGGTTTCTCCTGCCCCTTGTCTCTTCTCAGCCATCTCTCTCCCCGCTCCCAGCACCAGGAGTAGCCTGTGGTGCAGCAGGAGGCACACAGAAGCTCCCTCCGCCTGAGCGTGGCTGCGGCCTGCACACTCGCCATTACTGGAAGACAATACTGGCGAACGTAGCAAGTAACTTCAGCTGCAACTTCTTGAGGGTCACTGCTGACTGGAAGCATTTTTAAGGGGCTGCTTTGTGCTCTCCAGGAATTCTTTGTAGGGACTCCAAAGGAACGGGCAGAACCAGCTCCATCTCATCTCTGAGGCATCATGGCAGACCCAGGCTCCAGCTCCCCCACCTTGGTAAAGCGGGAGCTCGGCATGCACGATGCCACTGCTTGTTGCCAGCGTTTTAACAAGTGGCCTCTCAAAATTCGCGCTTGGGCTGTGACAAGCCCCCTGCAGTAGCAGGGCATGTATTTGTAGATGTAAGTGGAGAAGGAGGCAATGCTGCTTGGTCAACAAATGCATGTTAAATGCTCTTTCTGGAAATGTCTGTACTTCTACTCGTTATTTGAGAGCAGATGAATGTGGCGCAATGTTTTGAGGTAGGAAGAGAGGTGGAACGTCATGCTTAAATATATATTTTAATTCCTGCAACTCAATGCAGCTTGCCACATTTAAAAAATGAGATGTTGGTGTGGCGCTAGGGATGAGGCTTTTCCGACAGGAACAAGGTAGCAGTATGCTTGAAGGCTTGGAGCTGATCACCTCCAGAGTGCCTTGTAGCTTGTAATGTAGGTGTGAATGCATGCCGGAGTCATTCCCCACTTCTCTCTTTCAGGAATGCTGACAAATATCTTAAAAACCCAAGTCCAGAAGTTCCCTATTAGTTGCAAGTCTTTTCTACTACGCTTTTTGCAGCCCGCCCTCCTTTTTTTCCTCTGCATGATGTCCCAGCCCCTCCTGCAGCTGTGGTACTTCTTTACCTGTAGGGCCTATCTCAGGGATTTTTGGATTCGTTCCTCTTGGGAGGTTCCTCTCCTTCCACTTGGTGGGACAGAAGGAAGAGGAAAGCAGTTTTCATTTGTCACCGCGGGGTGCAGCAGAGTCCTCCTGGGCTCCTCTGATCTGCCCCTTCCTGTGTGAAAATGGCTGTGAGGGCTCACTTCTCCATCACCTGCCCCAAGTCCCACCAAGGGCCTGGGGGGGGGCAAGCGGGGGGGCGGGGAGGCTCTGCCTCCCTCCTCCCGCCTCCCTGTTCCACTGGGCTTCCCCAGGTTTGCCAGAGCGTGGAAGGCAGCCAGCCAAAACTGTCAGCCTGGGCTGGAAATAGCGAGGATGGGGAAAGTCGGGAGGAGGTTTCATGCCAAAATTTGGAGCAGCATATTTTACCATAGCTGCTAGCAGCCCCAACAGCGATCAGGCCCCAATTGTCTGCAGTATTGTGTGAGCGTGTGTATTGTGTATGTGTGTATATATATCCACCCACGGAATGAGGCTGTGCTTATCCTCAAGAGTCTACTATGTACGTGGACAGAGGTAGAAGAAAGGAAATATTATTTCCTATCTTCCAGATGGGGCATTGAATTTTGCGTCGTTATTGTGATTGTGTAAATGAGGTAATTGCACGCACATGGTCTGCTGTAGGATCGGTGAGGGCACTTTTTGTGGTCAGTCTGTTCAGGAACAATTGTGAGCATGAAAATATACACATAGCTGTTAAAATAAATAGTCTCTATTTAAAAAATGACATTAAGAAGATAAATAGTACACAACTTACTGGGGAGGGAGGAGGGGAGAGGAACATCACTGACAGCTTCCTGGCAAAGCGTTGGAGACACTAGAATACAGGCACCAAGCTGACACACAGATAAACATTGCAAGGGCACTGGAGTAATGAAAAGAAGAATTTGGGTGGAGCTGCCCGCTTCCAACTGCTTGAACAAGGAAACAAACGAAGGAAAAATTAACAGTTTTAGTAGTAAGTTAAACGGAAAGCTAAAAAACCCACGAGGCTTAGTGTCTTAAAATGAAACTAAGCATGATGTTGCAAAAGCGCGTGCCAAGTAGCTAGGGCTGGATGCTGGGGAGCAGTGTTCTGTAGTAGAGATAGGAGATGCCTGCGTGTTTTCTTTCAGTCCCACATGAGGTGTGCAAGCTGAGGATGTGCACAAGCTGGTACATTTTCTTGGTAATTTTGAAAGCATTTGGAATAGTAAGTACATTTCAGTTAGGAACTGTGACAATTAAGGAAAATGATTACTTGAACTTACTGGTAATCTTGAACTACTGTGGTGTGTATGTGTACTAGGGGTGTCGCGCTCACAAGAGCAGGAGCAGCATCTCAGACATTCTCCCTGATCCTTTCCCACTTGGGCATGTTAAAAAGACGGGACTGATGACCGGGAGGTCATTGTCAGAGCCCCGTTCCTGCTGGGGCAATAACCCAGAAGGTCATCAGCAAAGAAAGTCCCCAACAGCCAGGCAATGAGTGGGTCACAGTAAGCATTCAAGGATTTTATCATCACAACTATTACATGTGTAAGTACAACATGGTGTTGCAATACTGTGAGTCTGTAATTCTAATGCACTTACTGGAATTAGTAAGGACCTCTACAGCCTAGTTAAAATCTATGCTTCGTAGACCGACTCTATTTCAGTGTCATCAAGGTGTCAGCCAAAAATTCTGAAGCTGCACTAAGATTTGCTGTGGAAGAGAAGACTCCAAAATATGTACAGCTCTTGGCCCTCTTTCAGGAAGGGGCTGATTGTGGAGTACAGTACATGTTGTTGGGCTTTTTTTATTTTCTAATGACTCATGTTTTGGACCTTATTCCTGTTTGTCTTTCAACGCCAAACAGAAATTGCTATTTAGGTCAAACTGCTGTTTTGGTACTAATAGAAGCAGACGTCAGTTTTGTCTATGGATTTCGCAGCTACGCATTTTTCAGGGTGACGTTCCCTCTTTAGGCTACTGCTGACATTTAGCTGTGGCAGTGTTACACCAGCTTTTAGTGCTACCTCTGCCGCATTACTTGTGCATGCAGAGCTGTGGGATGTAGCTGGGGAGGTACCTGTCAGATGCAGCTACTTTTTTTTTGTTCATGCAGGCTGCAAGTACAGCATCTTCTCCTCCCAGCTCCTGCCTTTGGACCACCTCCTGCTGCCACCGCACTGTCCTGGCTCTTACCCTCTCAGTTCTTCTCACCCACTGGCCTCTTGGCCCGTCCCTGGCCGCTGCCAGCTCTGCTGTATCCCGCCGCTCTGCTGTATCCCGCCTCTCTGCAAGGCGGTTTCCTAACCCCGACTCCCTGGGCTCTTGCTTACTGCTTCCTGATGGGCGCCAGCTTTGGAGAGGAGCCTCAGCTCGCGCCTGGCAGACGTTTTTAGCCTGTGGTCTGCTGCGTGCTTCGTCTCGGATGCTGGTGTGCCTCCGCATTGAGGCACGCTGCGCTGCTGCCTTGGAACCGGTGCCTCAGAGGCATGTGTGGGAATGGGAGACCTGCTAGCTCAGGTGCCAGAAGAAGTCTGGCACCAGCAAATGAGGTTGCTACAGGCCACTCATCCCTTCCCATCAGGTAACTGAGTGAGTTGAAGCATCTCTGTGCAGCACAAAGTCTGCACAATTTAAGCGCCTTCCCTTTACAAAAGCTGCCGTGACCTATCACATGGTGCTGAGCAAGGAAATTGTTGGATAAAAGCGAAGGGGAGCGTGCTGACTCGGGTGCCTGCTGGTGTAGCTCCATGTGTGCAAGACTTCAGTGAATTTCCTTCAGTTCTTATCGGCTGAATATCTGGCTCTCCACCTTTAACTCAGACCACCGAGACTTTTGAAGATGAATCTTTAAATCTAGTCACGCACAGATACTCAGATCCTGAGCTACAGCCAAAGGTGTGGGCTGAGGGAGGAAGTACAAAAATGGCTTTAAGCTGCCTTTGAAGTTCTTCCATACCTGTGTTATTTTCCATGCTCTGATAAAAAAATAAATAATACTTTAACTTGCAGAATAGCCAAATAAGAGCTGGTAAGCAGTTATCCCAGGGTCTCTACCACCAGCTAATGTTTAGAAGGCTGAAAGCACCTCTTAAGGCTACTATTTCCTTCCTTCCCATCCTCCTCAGGCTTTCCTGCAGGTAAGAGGAACCTTAAAATGACTTGGTTTGTTGTTCAGTTCTGAGAGGGCTTCGCTCACAGGAACAACACGGCTGAGCACAGCATGAGAATTAGATTCGTTTTTACTTACATAGATAACAAGGTGGTTTCTGTGAAGTTTTCCAATCCCTTTCAAATTCATCCTCTTTTACAGTACATTCATGTTATACAATCCAACACTGCATTCTTTTTCTCTGAGCAGATGTGGTCTGCCCTTCTTGGTTGCCTTTTGTTTTTGTCTTTTGTTTTTGTGTTGGGTTTTGTTTGGTGTTTTTTGGTGTTTTTTTTTTCTGGTCAACAAAAGTTTTGCCCAAACTTTTTATTCAGAAAAGTTGATGCCACCCTGAAACTCCCTGGTAACAGAAGGATGTTCTTACATGGTTTACTATTTTTTCCTCGTACCACTCATCGGTTTGAGCTGATACTCATGCTCTGAATTAACAGGAGTTAGTTGCAGCACCCACATTTCATCATAACTGTACATGTGGTTTAGCTCTCACAAATATCAGGGGCGAGTTTTTATTTAGTAGCTAGAAAGGAGTTATTTTACTGAGACTTAGACCACTCACCCCAGGGCTACTGGCCTTTCAGTAATGTGGATTTATATTTTTTTACTGTCTTGTCACTACAGTGTTACGGCATCCAGACTTCGGATTATTCCTTTGTCCTTCTTGCAAGTGGCTGCAAGGGCATGAGGGGAGTGGAGAAGACACACAGCTGGTCAGAAAGGAATTCCTCCCCTCCCCGTGCAGGCTTTAATGGTGGTGAAGGACCCTGGCAGAGAGAAGAGTGGACAAGCATCCTGTATGTGAGGATGACAGCCATGCTTACAGCCTAGATTAACTGGCAGAGTTATCTAGGCTCCAGAGCAAGTATTTCCAACCCATGGGAATGGGCTCGGCTCACCACTGTCATCACAGCACAGGAGAAATAAGGTGCAAACTTCTCAGCATCTCCAGAGCAGTCTGGTGGTAGTCTGGTGGGGACAGTCACAATATGCTGCTCGGTGCCCCAGAGAGAAGCGGTAAAGCCTGCAACCCCAATGATGACCTGAGCCTAGGGATGAGCCCTGTTGAGCACTACACCGTAGCTGAGCCCTTCCCATCGCTCACAGCCCTGAAGAGCCCAACCCTCTGCTGCTGCAGCCTCTGGGTTTGCTAAGTCAGGACCTCTCCCCATAGCTTCCCACTTCGCTTCTTGCATGACCCAGCCAGTTTTCTCTCCCCTGCCTTGGAGAACCGTCCCACCTCTCCCAGCCATGTTCCCTCCTCTACTCTTCCTACGGTGTTCTCAGAAATGCACGCAGGCTGCCCCATTACCCCGCACCTCAGGAAGGGGAGTTGGGGTACAGAGGTCAACAGACTGGGATCGCTTTCTGCCCAAACTGGTTCACCTGGATGCTGGTTCCCAGCCAGCCTCCCTGGGAGGTGGGAGAGGGGCAAGGTGAGAAGGAAAAGCACGAGAAATTGGGAGCAGCAAGACTTGTTCTGAAAGAATTAGGGAAAACTGCTCCAGGCAAGGAGGCTGGTGCGGGCTGTGGTTTCTGTGTCTGTCCCCAGGGGCTGGGGTGATGCACAGCCGGTGGACAGCCTTCCCTTCCCTGCCCCATTCCCAGGGCAGTTTTAAGGCACTGGGCATCCAACTCAGAGGAAGAGGTGGATTAGGGGGAAGATGGGCCAAGGAGCTGGTTGCAGGAGGAGGGCTCCGCCAACAAAGAACTGGCAGCACCTAACCTGGATGCAGCATGGGATAGCAGCTAGTGTTCCTCCTTCCGTGGGGAACAGCCCTCTTCCAAGGTCTGTCCTTCCATGGCTACGCTCATCGGTCTTCACCTGTTACCTCTGTTTTCCACAAAAACTTGCTCTTTCCGGGCTGGCTCGTGAGAAGGCTCCTTCCCATCTCCCCTGCACTCAGACCCTGGTACTTGAAGGAGCTCTCCCTGTGAACCCTAGGCTCACCCTAACACTTTTAACCACCCCTAAAGCCAGTGTTTTTTCAGAAGCTGTATTTATGACCACATATAAATTACATACAGATTGTTTAATTTGCGTAGGTGCCAGACACAGAGATGCACACCATTTGGCAGGTATGCCCAGACGCAAGGGGGGGGGGGGGGGGGGGTGGCAAAGGG